CGTTCCCTTCTGGAGGCCTATCCATCCTTCTTCTCATTCGGTGCCTTCAGTCGAGTCGGCCCAACGCGGGAACAGTTGAGAGACACGTCCTTCCGAACCATTATTGTGGGTAAGGGTTGGGCCGATAAGATGGCCGAACCCACTGATGAGCCCCAGGAGGCGCCCAACAAGACTGTTGTTGTTAAGGTGAGCGGCAAAGACCCGGGCTATACGGCCACCAGTACTTGTCTGGTTCAGGCCGGCATCACTTTGATCAAGGAGTTCAACAAATTGCCCGATAAGTAAGCATTTGTTTTGCGATAATTGGTTTGTGTTTTTAATTTAGTAATTCAAATATGTATTGTGTATTTCAGGGGCGGTGTCTTTACACCGGGAGCTCTATTTGATGGCACCGGTATTTTTGAGCGCCTTAAGGCTCACGAAGTTTTCTTTGAAGTGGTCAACCAGTAATGGGACTGTTGTTTGGTTTCCCTGAGATTTGAATTCATACTGTTGTAATTTATTGAATACTTTTGAAATTACCTTTATACATTATTATGGTCCATAATGGCCCATTGAAATCAGTGAATTGGAAGAAGGAAGTAGTGGTCAGTCGTACGGCACCGGTAGTCGTGCCACAAATGTTAATAATAAAGGCTTTCTTATGGCACACGAGTTGTTTGGTTTGAAGAGATATACAAACAATTAGTCGACGGAAGCAATGAATTAAAGTCGTGACAAAAATACACTTATTTTACATATTTTTATAGTTATAGCAAAAGTTTGTGTAAATATATTAAAGTTTATGTAAAAGTATAATAATTAAATTACTATTTTATTTAACAGTGTTTTTATTTATATCACAGGTTCAAAACAAATTTATAGTTTTCTATTAATTTCATTGAATAGACGTAACCAAAAATAATTCTGTTGTTATACTAATTTACTCGTTAATAAAATATATGTGCTTTGTTAAATAACATTTTTTCTATTAGTTTAATATTTATTAGTTTCTTATTTATATTTTGTATTAGATTAATTATTAATATTATATAAAGTTTTTATTTATATTTAAAAAAGTATTGATTTATAAAACAAATTATTTTCATTTACAAAATTGGCGTAAAATTAATAAAAGTTTTATTAACCGATTAATTCGTTCTATATTTCTCATGTTTTTAAGTTGTACTGGTCATTTATTTTGTGTATACAAATTTTGTTACTTTAAATTTTTACTACCAGTAATGAAAAAAATCAAAAACTTGACAATAAATAAATTAAATAACAACCGGTAAGTAAATTGTTTGTTTAAATTATGCAACATTGTATAGGAATTTCATAGATAATGAAATTTACCTGTAATTTTTATGTGACGTGTAAAACTTGAACTAGCCAATCGAAATTATTGTTCAAACATTGGTTTCCCTCATAACTGGACGATAGCTGTAAGACATAATCATAATTCACTATTTCCTTACATTTTGATTATAGTTTACAAAACTGACAGTCATTCAATCTATAATTTATAAAGTGTGAATAAATGAAAGTACTTTAGACTTATAATTTTTTAAATACTTTTTCTGACAATTGCATACAATGCGTAAAAAACCCATTAAATAACAAATTCCTATTAGAAACGGGTATATTAATTTTGACATAATTATGGCAAATAACAATGAAGTATTGCTATTTAAGCTGTACGCATGTGAGCCGGGTACTTATTACATAAGACTAATAATGAAATGTTATGCGGTACTAACAAAGTATGTGGCTATTTAGAGTCACCCCTTTATTTGAATTCACACATATATTGTGTGTATTAATACCGCAATGGACTTTCATTGATACATAAGACTATCTAATATTGGCTAACCATCAAACTTTTGACAAGAGGTCTCTATGACTACAGCCGTAAACAGTCTCTGAAAACATGTTTTTGAGATTAGTTTTCGACATTTTTATCGGAGTCTGAGTATTACAAAGTTTGTACTTTTTGTACTTTTTTGTACTAATGAAGGCACATCTCGTTTGATAACTCATTATTCAATTATAAATATCATATAATTTTCATTTAAATACTTCTGTCAATTAACTTAGTTTTCAAACTCAATTTACAAATCATCCACAGTGACATTTAAATGTAAGTCAAGTTATTTGCTTATTAGATATTTGACATGTTACATCTTAATATAATTATAATGACATTTTTAAATGTATGATCACTTTTATTATTATAATAATTATAATGTTATTTCCATTAAACTCTAATTATATAATCTAATGTTATTCACGATTATTTATGATTAGTCTTAGATAGCAACATAGAATTACACTGGTTAATTTGTGATACATTTCTGTGTGTTTAATTTAAGTATTTAAAATTATTGAGTGACAATTTGGTTAGTTAGAATAATGCCTTGCTATAATATTGCATGTATAATTAACTTTACCGATATACTGTATGTTATAAAAACATTTATTTTAATTGTAATTGATTTGCATTATAATTGAAAATTTTATTTATTAAACAAGTCATTTAAAAAATTGCCGGTATTTTGTCATCAAATTAA